GAACAAAGTAATGTAAAATCATGATGTAAAAAGAAAGGTGTAACAACATCGTGTATGCGCAGTAGTCATGTGCATTTGGACCCAAATTTCATTGGCTCGCTCATCGTGCGCCGCCGCTATGCGCAATGATACACCTTTCTTGCAGTAGTCCATGTGCATTTGGACCCAAATTTCATTGGCTCGCTCATCGTGCCGCCGCCGCTATGCGCAATGATACACCTTTCTTTTTACATCATGATGTAAAATATTAAGTATAGAATTTTCAACTTCGTAAGCGGGACAACGAATTCCCAATGTTTTTTTTTTGTTGTTTTTCACTCGGTGCGGTATCGTACGACGTTACGCGGGCCAATGTTTATATACCCGAAGGTCGCCGCGGTCTCACTCGCTCGCCGAACGTCGAGCCGGCAGGCAGCAGCGAGAGTCGCTCCGTGCGTAGTGTTACTTTTGCGTTATCGGTTTTCAAGACTCGATCGCGATAAATGTAGGGATAAAACGCTCTTGATTTGTACACCTTTATCAGTAACAAGTAACGTTCCTTGATTAATTATCAACTTTCTACAACTTGTAACGAGAAACGAATTGCATGTTGAGGCGACGGCTCTTTATCAACGTATACATAGACGTTTCACGAGACTAACTTGTCTAAAATATGAATGTAAACCGTGGTACTTTGTCGCGGTTACATCTCGTTTACGCACCGCGCTTTTAATTATCTATCGATTTCGTGTAATCTGTTTCATTTTCGAGAAAAGAGAGAAATTTGTACGACTTCGGCATTCGCGTTGTAATTCGCTCTGTCGTTCTTCGCAACTCGAACGCAGGAAGTAAAGAAAGTCTCTTATTGCACGTCGCTTATTGCTCGCGTTGCGTTTTATATCGCCAATTCAAAAGTGTTTTATCCATTATCCTGTTCTTTCGAAACAAAAATGCACGCAATATTTGTTAATAATATTTCGTGCGTTTCGCGGTATTTCACATCGCGTGCGGGAGTGTTCGAAATTTCGCGCGAGTGATGCTTTTCGCGAGTGAGTGTTGTGTAAGTGTAACAAGGAAATCTGAGAGGAAGAGCAGGTCTAGAAGGCATCGGGCAACGGCGGGAAAAACGTGAGGTAAGTGTCTTACATTTTTATGTTACTTGTGCGAAATAAAGTATCTGTTCTGTATTTTTATTTGACTTATTCAAATGATTCGAACGAGGATTCGAATAAGTGTTAGAGACAAAACTATACGTATACAATTTAGTGAGTTCATATTTAAAAGAAAGACTTTTTCAGTATTCCATCTAATTATTTTAATAAATACCTATTTTAAAGAATATAAAATATAAAGTATATTTAATACAATAATTTCAATTTTACATAATTAGTCTATACTAATCATATACGTATGGTATTTGTATTTTTACAGTTTACCATAAGTTAACGATGTACAACTCTGCTGTTGCAAATCGTATCAGTGAGTGACAAATTACTTTTTTATTTTGAATTGACGTTGCGCATACAGTTACTTCTTTGCATGTATACAAATTCTTAAAAACACACAATGCTCAACCACAATTTGCGCGCGCGTTGTGTCGTTTCTAGTTATTAAAAAATGTTGTGTATGTTGCAATACACAAAAATTGTATGTATATACGACTGTGCAATGGAAAGCATGTATGATTGGTTGTAAATTGACCCCCATTGAGAAAAAGAGCTTTACAGATATTGAGTATACAGTATCTCCTACAACTCCTGCAATTTTCATCAAAATCCGCGAAGAGCAAAGCGTGTACTAATATTACCCGTTGTAAATAATTTCTTTGTGTGTACTAATTTAAAATTTTATCTCCGTAATATTCATATTTTGAAGTTGGATTTCATATGTTAGTGCAGTTTCTTATCATAAGTGCACAAATTAAGTTTTTTCCGAAAAAGTTTTTGATACAATTTTATTGCATCAAATTTATTATACAACGAATATTCCACGAAGAGCAAAGATTAATCAAAAGAGCTATAATGTAGCTAACAATAAGTAATTTCTTTGCGTGTGGTATAGTGAAATAATAAAATAAAAACGTTTTATTTTAACAAATTGTCCTAAAATGTAGTTCTTTGTGGGTTAGTACAGCATCTAAATTTTTATTTTGCAATTTATGTGTAACTTGTTACGTGTGATCTTAAACTTTCAGAACTTTTTCCCAAATACCTAAATAAATCTCTTCTTTGTGCATTTCAACTCTTACTCAATGCGTACATTTTCTCAGTGGAAACGTATTAAAATCCATTATTATCGTCTCACCAATTACTGTTATTTAGTAACTACCATGCATCACGCATTCCGCTTGGTTATTAGTTTAATAAACTTCCGCTCCTTTTAATAAGCGAAGATTCTCAAGCGTAAATTGTCAGTTCTCGTCCGTCGTTCGCGGTAAACTTAGCACACGGCATTGTTGCTATATTACTTGCCAAGTGTATCGTTGCCTTAATAAAATTCAATCAAGAGGTACTGCATCTCGCTGTAATGCACAATTCTCAATTTCGGCAACGCACTTTTACAATATCTGACTGTAAGTACTTTTGCAATAAAAAAAAGCAATGGTTGCATTCTGCGGAAAAAGTGACTCGGTAAGTACTCAACGAGCCTTTATTAACATTAGTTTCTACTTACATTCAGCGAGGAACTAAAGGTAATCGTGTTAAAGAATCATTGAGCGCTTACTGAGCTGCTTTTTCTGCTGAATGCAGCCAATGCACAAGCTTTTACCGTGTCCTCCATAGCAAGAAACGTCACAGTGACATCACAATATTGTGACGACATCTATTATGATGCCGCAGTGACGCTTTTTGCTGTGGAAATGCAGTAGCTTTTTGTATCAAACAACGTTATTGGACGTATGATAAGAAATATCAAATTTTCTTAGACATATCTGTTATTAAAATTACGTTACATATTCAAAATTAAAGTAAAACTTACCTAACGTAATCTATCTCAATCTAAATCTTTTTAATCACGGTGCGATCTTCTATGTCCGACCAGCCTTAGTTGAAATTATGAAGTGTAATTGTTATACTGAATCTAATATCAGAAAAGATTTCTATTGTTTAAAAGTTGTTTACTGTATAGAAACAATGTGAACACACTACACAGAGAGAATTTACTTTTAAAATTTATCCTGAAAATATTATAATCGTGGGACAACACGGGATTTCAAAGATTTTATGAGTTTTTTTGCAACTTTACCATGCATTTCACTACAACGATTACACTTACAATTAGTATACAAAATAACGACAAAGTAGAAAAGGCCAATATTAACAAGCTTTTCGGTTGACAGTGTATTAATAATAATTTACTAAAGAGTATGGTGTGATTACATTTAGACTCTAGAGTTGCGGACGCGTTTCGGCACACGGTGCTTCCATCAGCGATTATGTCTAACAATATACTTAACAATTACACATTCAATTAATTAATTATAAACATGAAGAGTCGCGAAATTAGAAAAGTCTTAATACATCGAAAACAATAATTCTTAGGTTTAATCAAAATTTAAAATTAAAAGATCAAAAACCCAGGAGAATCAAATCAAATTCAGTCCTCTTAAATGCATTGTGATCATGTTTTTATATGATGATTAAAAGGGCTGAATTTGACCATGATTCTCCTAGTTTTTTACTTTTTAACTTTAAATTTTGATTAAACCTAAGAATTATTGTTTTCGATGTATTAAGACTTTTATAATTTTGCAACTCTTCATGTTCGTAATTAATTAATTGAATGTGTAATTGTTAAGTATATTGTTAGACATAAGCGCTGATGAAAGCACCGTGTGCCGAAACGCGTCCGCAACTCTAGAGTCTAAATGTAATCACACCATACTCTTTAGTAAATTATTATTAATACACTGTCAACCGAAAAGCTTGTTAATATTGGCCTTTTCTACTTTGTCGTTATTTTGAATAGAACACAAGCATTACTTCTCTGTATAATTAGTATACATTTTACTAGTAAAATGTGAAAATGTGGTGAACTTTCAAAAAAACTATCGTAAAGTTCTTCAAAATGCTGTGTTGTCCCACGATTACTCGATTTTCAGGATAAATTTTAAGAGAAAATTCTCTCCGTGTAGTACTAGATTCAGTGCAGTATAATAATTACGAGGGTATCTTATAATTCCAACTAAGGCTGTATGTTAAATTATAATATAGATAATTTTATCTTTGACTTCATTGACTTCATCAAATAATATTAATAAAATTTTGTTAATTTTATCTTTGACATTTATACTCCATTACACAGATTTTTTTATCAATAATTCGAGGAGCTAGTTGCAGTGACATTTGAAGCATTTAAAATACTGCGGTGACATTTAGATTTTATTTACAACATTTAAAGACTACTCTTACATCGCGTTAGTCAAGTTATTGTAAAAAAAAACCTCCCTTGATCAATTACCCCGCTATTTTAGAATTCGAGGCACTGTTTGTAACTGTTGAAGATTTAAGTGTATTGCGTAGAAATTGTTATTGAGATGACCACAGAGTTTATCTCGTTTCTTAGCTTCATTATAACTTGTTCGTACAGAAATAAGTTCGCACTCGTACTGACTCGTGTAACAAACGAACAGACAACTTTGGCCTCGTAACGGTCGCGACAATAATATAATATGTCGATAACTGATAAAACTAATTACGAGAATATATACGATATTTCTACAGAAACATAGTGTTCCGCGCGAGATTTAGGAAATAAAAAAAATTGTGTTAAGATATCGAAATTACGTCCGTTGTGTGCGTGAAAGTCACTCAAAATTCATAAAGTGATATATCTTGACGATATCAATTGATATCACTTCGATGGTATTACTTGGGCCACTTGGGAGATATTATGATCTTGAATTTCCAAAATATTAGATAAATAAATTGTAACGTGCAGTGGCAAACTTCCCCAATTGAATCGATTCATAGTACGTACATTGCTTCACTACAAAGAATACATTTTTCATGTTTTCTTACCTTTTGGATTCAGTCTTTCAGGGTTAAACCATGCGTCTGTAAACAATACAATTAGAATATATTAGTATTGGATTACATCACTCAAAATAAGTATAAAATGCAAACTGTTACTGGATTAAATCTATCAAAAATTGAGACGTTTGGCTGAAAAATTTCGCAAGTAACGGAATTGAAATTTTTGATGATATGTGCAGTATCTTCTTTTTGTTTCAATAAATTTTAAAAACATTTACAATTATTTTGTTTTTTGAATGAACATGCATTATTTTTTTTCTTTCCTTCTTTGACATCAAGCGACAAAATTTTCAACATTTTCAATGAAATTTTACACTCAATTAACATAATCTTAGAGCGCTAACAGAAAAAAAGAGGCAAATAGTTAACTTGTAAGATTTTAAAGCCATTTTGATAAACTGCGAAAGAGTTTCGCTTGTGTCCGAAACTTCAAGCGTTATAGACCAATTCTGTTAGCGCCCTTGGAATAACTGCAAACGCAGAAAGAAAATGATTAATAATAGAAACGAATTCAACGCGATATTAATAGATGCCGCAAAGATTGCTTGTCTTTTTGCCACATTTAACAATAAGATCGTGCAAATTATTATTTGTGAAAACAATCTGTTAATTTCCTCGCGAAAGAAGAATCGTTCATTGCAAAAGATTAACGCATGAATTAAATAAAACCGAGAAACGTGAGGGATCGTAATTTATCCCGCACGCGACATTATTCCCCTTCGAGCTCATTTTCAGGTTACGCTTCTATTAATAGTCACATAATAAATCGATACGGATAGGCGATTGCTACCGCAGTGAAATAGCTGCGTCCTTGGAAAAACTATCGAAGCACCGTAGTAGTTCGAAAATGAACAAATTTTATTACATTGCATATTCCAAGTGTTCACATTATTTCCTTAACTGTCGGGGAATAAACTATGCATTTTACTTTAATTATAATTTTCCTTTATTTGCTCGTATCTTGGTCATTGATCCTCTAATATTGCAAATAAATTTTATTATTATTTATTTGTCAAAGATTACTAAACGCTTCTCCAGCCGTTTTGCCTAAAACACATTTTCACGTATTGTATATTTCACGATTATATTTTTTAATAATCCGTTGTGCCATTTATCACATTATTAGAATAAAAACTCGTCGGGAGTCTGCAAAGCTACTAATACATTGGACCCGAGTTATTTGTCCAATGAGTCATAATTCCCCAAGTAAACCATTCTTCTTATTTTACTCCATAAAGGTACAAAAGAAAGGCGAAGTAAGTACAGTGAGAGAGAAAGGGGTTGAAGGAGTCAATACCCTTTCATTTAGTTAGATATTGCGTCGCACTGTCAAATGCATATAAATGAACAGTCCTTTTATCATTCGTGCGTGCATCTTCCCCAAGTGTTATTAGAGTAAAATGTGCCATTTAAAAGCGCGCGTTTCGAGCACGGGTTATTTACACGATCGAGTTTCCTTTGTCATTTATTTGTGATTTAAAGTAAAATCAATTAAGTTAAAATAAAGTAAAATAAACAAGGCTCCTGCACGAAGGAGCAAATAGTGTGGGTGCTTTGGTGAGGCTCCAAATTTAAAATTAATTTAATGTATACGATTATTCTTATCTCCTTCACAGAGTGTGTATCCTATTCACACAATTATAAAGAAAAAATTAAAAATTATAAAAACGTTCAAATAAGAAAACCGGTTTCTACAAAACAAACATTTTATGTTATTTAAATTTCTGGCTCCTTTATTTCGAACAAATATAAGAAAATAAAATTAAAAATTGAATAGTGCTCACAGCATTAGTTACCGCTCCTCAAACACATTTATTAAGTTTCCCGTTACTTGTTATTAGCTTGGTCGTTCGGCTAGCTTTTGATTGTTCACGAAATACAAAAATAAAGAGACAATTTCTACAAAAACTCCCTAATAATTCACCAATTTTCCAGGCAAAAAAGAATTCCCTGAGAATTCTAGGTTTTCCAAGATATTTCCCGTAATAGACACCCTGTATTGTAACAGTTTGCAAGACAATAAGATATAATATCGGACGAAAATAGGAAATCACTTGTTACTCAAGTGAGTAAGTTTGCTGAGCGCTATAAGTCGTAATCGACAATGTGACAAGGGCGCTCTATTGTTAATCCGAGCATCAATGCGGTAAGTGGGTAGATAAAGATTCGTTCGCCAGATGAAAATGCATAGGGTGTACAGTGCTCGATAATGACGGAAACGTCAACATGATTTCCCTCAATGTCACATATATCCCGGCTTTGTATACATACAAGTATATGCATGTATCGTGTGAGAAATAATCTTGAACTACACGCCAGCGCAAATTATAGGCACGCGCGCGAATCGCGCGGCAAGTCAGTCCGAGGCAATCGATCGTGTGTGCACTGCGCAATATGACTCCCGTTGCCTTGAAACGGCGACGTATTACGCTTGCTTTTGACTTTGGAATCGAGGAAATCGGTTTTTTTTCGCGATCGATGAAAAAATCTACGGCGACTGCGGTTTTACGACGCAAACCGCGGAAATAAAGTTATCGAACGTAAGTTGAATGACAGGCATTTGTTGAAAGTCGCCTTGTGCAGTGTGTATTCTAAATATATTACGCGTATATCGCGTACAGCCTTGGCCAAAAATATATGCTATCTATGGTGAAATCTCAGTAACTTTAAATTTTTTTACATTCAGGTAAAAAACAATTCCCCGCGCGCCTAGCAACGCCGATCGCGGGACGGCCGCATCTCACCGCGAGCTTGAATTGGGCTGTTGGCCGGGCTAAGACAGCGATTTTTAATAATTAATAATTCCTTAACTATTGCGAAAATTGCAAAATGGTACAGAACTTTTCGACTCAATCTAATCCGCTCTATCCGTAGATAAGAGGTGAGACGGGTATTACATAACACCCTGTACACATATATGATCATGTATGATATATTCAACCTAAGACTATAAAAATATCTATGAAATATTTTGATAAATATTGATAAAATATAAAAATACATCTTTTAAATATTTTGTACATATTTGTGTGTTATCAAACGATATCTAACTCATATTTATGTAAAATTGTACAATATATGAATGGCTAGGGACCAAATTCATATCTGCTTATATCTGAATTAGATACATTTTTTCCCGGGAATTGAAAGGTGGCAAATACTTTTGGCCAAGACTGTATGTGCAGCGTGTACATGTCACCAGTTTCGTGCAGCATGTCGTTACCGGACGGTTCGGTAAAGCACTTGTCTCTATTGACAAAAATACTTTTTCAACTTTTTTAAGCCGTTAAAGATTAACACGCACGATTAATTTCAATTAAAAGTGCTATTTTAATAAAACAACGTAAAAATGCTATTTTAGTGAAATAACATAAAGAAGTTATTCGATCAAATTCGCACATATAACAAAGGCGAGATTTATCTTAGAAAAATTAATATAATTTTTCTTAAGGAAAAGCATTATTACACATTGATTATAAATATTAAATATATTAAATAGTAGATAGTACGGTCAACTTGTGAACCAAAGAGGGTCATAAAGTACAATAGAAAAGTTATTTAATAAAATAAGTTGAATAAATGCATTAATGTGAAACAAAATTCGAGAATTATATCGACAATAACTGGCACAATATATTTTGATTAGTACACGACGTTTCGGCCAGTAACACTGGTCCTTATCAATTATTAAGTACATTGCGATATATTAATTTTTCTTGAAAAGAAATGTATTACATCATTAACGAGCACTTTTCTTCCTAAGGTGTAGAGAATGTGAGGTACAAGTAAAGACAGATTAAATGAGCAAAATTATCGTAATCTTCCCGTCACGTTAATACGATAAAAGTAATACAGTTATGCAATTTTCTCTTAGCAACCAATTGCCACCGTGACACTTGAAAGCCGCCCGGATGACTTTGGGATAAGGTTCGAGAGTCAATTATACATACGTCGGCCACGGTTGGATCTCGTGGCGTTACGTAATCCAAGGTCACGATGATAATTACTTCAAGTTGCAAAAATTAACGCAACGTGCTGACGTGCTACGAAAGAATTTCTTCCGTGCGCACATACAGTGAATTACATCGATTTCATTAGCATATCGCGATTTAATCGAAATACCACTGAGATGCAATAATTAATGTGAATCGCCGGTGTAAAAAAAAAACATTTGGGGTTTTGTATCCGTTTGTGCGGAGTAAAAATTTAAAAAACCTCTCCTATAGAGCTTCCAACATTTATTTGCAATATTAACAATGTGTATTATCATCGTACAAAATTCAGCACGTCAGATCTAAAAATAGGTCTTGTATAAATAACAAATTTAAGGTCTAATGCGACACTTGCCCCATCGGAAGAATCAACTAAATTCATGCCAATTTAACGTCGATGAAAGTAGCAAAGTACGTTAATTGCTCCCTCCTCGCCGTTTAAAATCGAATACACACATTTTTGTCCACAACGACAATCGTCTCTAGTATTGACATTTTCTACAGGCACTCCATCTACGACGAGAACGAAACGAGCTACGCGGGCTCTCAACCCAAATGTGGGCAGATGAATTGCAATATAAACGCGAACAGTTGTGACGTTAGCGCAAACGTTATTTGCAGGGAGCCGGCCGATCGATAACCCAGTTTCGATCGGAGATTCTCCGATATCGAGCAGGTAGCATCTGCGCAGGGCGAAGCCCGGGTCACCGACACGAAAGCGGTCACCGAGGAGGATTAATTAAAATTTACCAATCCTTTCTTTTCACTTATCTTTCAACGAAGAGTCGCATCGCGATCACTCTTGCCAATAAAGGGACATTTGTTCCCCCGACATTCTTGGGAGTAGAATAGAACACGTATATAATTCTGGAAAATAATGTCACTCCGTGTGAGTTGTTTTATGATGCGTCTTTCTTTCGTTGGCACTTCGTCTTTTTGTTTCCTTTATCGTTTTAATATGGCCCTTTTTTCATCGATTGCTTGCAAAACTGTGTACGTATAAGGAGAAACACACAAGAAATACCCAATTGTTTCGCTGTGTATGCAGACGAAGGTGATAATAATTTTTACGAATTAATGAGCCGTTTTTTTTTAAACGTGAGCTCCGAGTATCGAGCGGTTGGGGTCGAGGGCGATCGAGGGAGAGAAGGAATCGTCCTCGGGGAGGGCGTGCGAAAGATCGAGTTAAGTGCCGAGAGAAAAAACCTACGCGGATTGAGAATGTTCCAGAAGCACGGGCTGCCGTTGGTCGTCAACGCGGGGCTGTTGGCGCCGGCGCTGGTCCGCTTGCAGACCTGGTTGCCATCGTCGACGTTCTTAACGGGGTACGCGTCAAAATCCGCCATCCTTACGCACACCTTACGACCGAGGTCCTCGCGCGACGCGCACCTCCCTCACTGCTCGCCGAGCTTGTGTGTTCGCCGCCGCACCGGTATTCGGCTTGGAGTTCGGAGTATTCGCTCCTGTGGCGTGTGTCAGCGCGCCTGGCGAACGTTCGCGGAAGCAATGGCGTATCTTGCCGCGCGCGCGCGCGCGTGCACCGAATGACGCACTTCGACGGCAACGACGACGGCGGCGACGACGAGGATAATTAACAACGACGAGGATGATGACGACGACGACGACGAGGGCGTGACCCCCCGTTTATCGTTCCCGGGGATGAGAACGAACCCGCGATGAGAAGAAGCGTTCGACTTTTGGAAGATTCACACGGCTAACCGGTACTTCGGAGCTGAGGATGAGAACTGCGGAGAACCCCCGTAGCTCGTTGCACAGCGAGATGAGGACTGAGGCCTGTTATCGACCCACCGGAGGTCTTTCGAGCCCTCTCCCCGCCAGACCCTCCGTCCCCCACCCACCAGGCTCATCGCCATATTGCTCGGAACCTCGCACTTTAGCTGCCGATGAGAAGCTACGTGACGGACCGACCGTAATCGAAAAATCAACTGCGGCGACACTCGGGATGTAAAATTTTTGGTTCCGACCAATTAAACTCGTGATCATGTGATGCACGGTGTTTGCTGACCACGGAGCGGCAGCTCTCGTCTTTTTTTTTATGTCATTTTTATATTCTTTGATTCTGGTCAGCAGATGTCGTTTGGTTTGCCCAATGTAAGAGGCTTCACAGACAGATAGATGACTTCAGTTTTTTGTCCCAATTTACTTGATCTTTGCCTCTTTTAATGATTTTATCTAATTTTTTGGGCACAGTGTAGATGGTGTTTAGACCTTTCTTTTCAATTTTGTGCTAATTTTGTTTGTCAGTCCTTTAATATAGGGGAGGATAATACTATTTTTATGGTCAAAGATTTTTTTAATATTAGTGTTCGCGCAGTCAGTAAGTAACTTTTTAAAAAATGTCTGTATGTACGTATGTATCCTGCCGGAAATAATTCTACAAAAAAATTAAATGCCAGAATCTAAAAAGTCTACGTAAATTTAAAAAGTATTATAAAAATTAACATAAAAATGCTAGAATTGGAACACTTTTGTTAATTTTTGTAATATTCTACAAGTAAGCAGATGTTTTAATTCTTTGAGATTTTGTTGTTTCTAAAATTTTAAAAACTAGTAAAGTTTTGTACTTTACTTTTACAAATTTTCACAAAATTGTACATTTTCATGAAATAGTACTTGCAACAATTTCTTGATTTGAGAACATTGTAATTTGCGGTACTATTTCGTAAATATTTTTACAAAAAGATTAATGTTTCAACGAAGATATACAAATTTTTATTTCAAGTCAATTTTTTGTAGTTATTTATAGAAATGTTTTCCGCTAGGGTATGTACCTATGTATGTATGTATCCAAAAAGTTTGTCAGGTCTTTAACTTTTCAAAAAAAGAAGATACCGTGCTCTTTTGTTTTCGGGGAAATACAGTGTCTCTGAAGGATGGCTGGTATTGTATTTGGCGGGAATCAATGAAAGGCTTCAGTTTATACTTTCAAGATATTTATCTTAAGGTATTGATCCCTGAATAACTTTTAAATTATGCAAGAAACAAAAAAAACGTTAAGCACCAAATTTCAACTTCACGACAAACGCTACAATCTAGAAATATTCATATTTTTTTCGTAATTTTCTAGTCGTCAATTCAAGAGATATTTGGGTGCAATCGAGGTAGAATTTCATGACCAAAGTGAGGCAAACACCAAGCCTCCGTTACATGTTTGCCAGAGGTGCATATTGGCGATACGCGGGCACGCCTCGTACTTGCTGCACTCGGAAGTGCCGCATAGCGATTGTAGCGTGATGAACAACAGTTATACAAAATGTCCATCCGTGACGTTTTACGTCATGTACCTACCGTCTATATTTTCAATGCTCTTTTTTACCGGCTCATTTAGGACCACTTCAATACTATTTTTTTTAAGTTTACCCTCGTGTGGAAACGCCTTTCAACCGTTAGGTTACATCAACGTGATATCTCTAAAAATTCTTTAAAATGTATGCTTAATCTTAATTAAACACCGAATCTAAACGGAATTAAAAACGTCAATTATCAACATTTTTAATTCCAAGTTCTACTTTAGATGTCACCTCAGACCGGTATTTTCGGTAGCAGTAAAGAAAAAGTTGGAGGGCCGAGAATTCGGTCCGAGAAATTTATAGTCAATTAATTTATAGTCAATTAATTTGCAACTTTTACGAAAAAGCCGCAATTTTATTAGCTACGCACTGCTCAGTAATTATTCAATATTTATTTCCAATAAACCTGCAAATTAAATTTACTTATATTGCGTACTTTAATAGTATTGTATGTGAAATACTGTATAAAGATTTTTTTAGGGATAGAAATGAATATGTGTGCATGCATGTGACTAAAACTGAAACTATAACGAAAAAAATGTCACTTTATTCTAAAGATTTCGATATCTCGAGATTGACTGGACAAATTTCTTTCGAACTGTATGCAATGCCAACTTCGACGAAAATTCTTTGTTTCACAAATTTTTCCTAAAAATTGTAAGGTTTTTCCAAAGTTTCTAAATTTTTTTCTAATAGTTAACATTCTAATCAGTGTTAAATGTGGCCAAATGCAGCATGGTGTGGAAATAGTTACAGGTTACAGGTAAGCTATGAGCGTAACTATCCGCAATACTGCAGAATGCAGACGAGTTTCCTCGCCAATCAATACCTACGCTGTATAGTGTACACAATCTTTCTCCTGTTCCGGATGCTAATATTGTTTTAAAATGGTACACGCAAAATCTATTCAAAGATTACTGGTTATGGGTTATTCTTACTGTTATTTTTAACTAAAGGAATTAAAATAATAAAAATAACTTTTTTAATTTTTGTCAGCTAGAAATCAGTTTAATTTTTAAGATCGCAGAGATATTATAAAGTCTATAACAGTCTATAATATTCTTTTAAATCGCATAAAATTTACTATTTCAGAATTTTTTAAGTTACTAGTTAGGAATTTGAGAACCAATTATAAAATTTAAAATAGCAAATCAAATATGGCGGTTGTAAGGTGGGCGATTATTGCTAATGCTAATTGCATTCTTTTATTTAAAACATGGTCTTTAAATTTTCGGAATTGATAATTATATAAATCTAAAATCACACAAACACACATAGGAGGTACACACAGACTAAAGTATTGCAAAACTTAAAATTATTTATATATTTTATTAGTTGTTGAAGCTCGGTATATTATCGATATCATTTATACACCATCAATCGCGTTGAACTCCCAAAGTCTTTTTTACTTGTCATTTATTGAAATTGTTGTAAAATTTATGCAAAATTTGCAAAGATTTCTCTATTTCCTAAATTACTTAGTTTTGAATTCAACATCAAACATTTATAATTTATATAACACACACATATATATGTGCATATACATATTAATGTAAAAGTTAAAAGAGCACTTAAGAGAATTTGTATTGTAACAAGGACATTATTGACAAGTGCTGTTCCATTACAAAAAAACAATTTATGTTTAATATCCGTATAGGTATAATTTAATTCGCGCCCACTATTTATATACTATTTATACTATATATACTATTTATACAGTGATATTTCTCATGAAAAACTGAGTCGAAAAGAGCCGTACACCTTATAATCAGCGGTCCATCGTGCGTCCGTTTAACAAAACGATGCTGATTGACTAATTTTTACTTAATAATAACTACTTTATGAAGCATAATGCGAGAAAATGGCTCGGGACTTTTCGACTCAGTTTTTCATGAGGAATATCACTTTATAAATAGTAGGCGCGAATTAGTTTACACCCTACATATTATTTGGAATCATCTGCTTTACGGTATCTGTGTATGTGGAAGTAATCGGTAAAGTGTTCCCTACATACTTCATTAAATTAAAATATGATAAATACGTTTATTTTATTGCGAATTGTAACACTGTAATATACCGATTGGGGAAAAATATTCTTCATAATTTGATTTCAATTTCTATGAATGTACAATAGCTCCTCTGTTGTAAAAAATTCTATCAATATCTCTACTTGTGGCGATTTCTTCAATTTTGAATTTTGAATTCGATCAAAATTATACAAGCGTCATCAACAGATACGGTAGTATCTCGCGTCGAGTCAGACGTAGCCAAGTTCGCGTGTACCGAAGTCTGATTAGTCTCAAGGCCTATTTACACATACTCATGACGTGTCAGTACTGTATCAGCCTCGTATCAGTACTATATCAGTGACATTCGTGATATAGCAGTGACGGTTGTTCACGCCTATTCATACAGCTTGAATTAAATGATTCTCAAGATCGCTCAGTTTACGGATGACGAATTAGCAATGATTGTTATAGTTTTAGACGAAAAAGAAGCACATAAGGCTGTTTAAATATTAATATGTTTTATAAAAGGTAACGATGCGCTTCTACGACACTTCGTCTGAATTTTGCCCGAGTAATGCTCAGTTGTCATAAAAGTGACTACTCACTTTTGTCTCTTCCTGTGTCTTTTACGCTTGTAAGAAAAGTTGTTGTTGTGTGAATTTAAGAGCGTCTCAATCATGTAATATCTAATTACATTTCTCGATAAATAATTAGATATTACATGATTGAGACATGTAGAACGAGATTTTATCCATTTTCTTCCTGAGTTGATTACAGTTGCGGTCGGTAATTCACCTCTTATGATAAAAGGTTGTGACAGTCTTTATGACACACCCTGTATAATAAAAGTGTTTTTAGTCCTTCTTGTCCCATATCTTACAAATGAGATATTGGACACAAAATCTAAATGTATAATTAACGGTAAGAAACGTCGTCGGATAATAACGTGATGTTACAGCGTGACCTTTGTGTGTGCAACACCAGGGAGGAGCATTTTCTAAGCTAAGAGGCACAAGTTTAGTATTTACATATAGACACAACTAAAATAGTTATATTTCATTTTTCTGACGATGTCAAAGATACTTTTGTACGGATAAAATCAGATTGTAACGTGTGGAAATGCCGACACGCACATTTCACTGATAGTTTAAAGTAATCTAAATGCATTCAACGTCAACTTTATTACGACATCAACTTTATTATACACGCAGTTTCTTTTATCGTCGTCGATAAATGAGAAAAATTCTCAATTTCATGGCGGTCATGGTCTTGACATTTGATTAAAGCAACATCGTATGTATTACGTACTACGAATTATTCTCGTTTCTTTGAGGTGGGGCTATATCTGTTACTGGCTAACGTTTAACCTCTCATTGTCAGTTATGATTTACAAATAAACTTTTTTTCTTGATTAACAAACAAAATATAAAATACAGGTAATTAAAATGTAATTATAATACCGTGATATTAATTTTATCAATGTAAAATGACTACATTATAATTACACTGTAAATTAGCAACAGAAAGAATTTTTTTCATTAATTTGACATTTTATTAGCCTTGTTTTACAAAATTTACAAAATATTTTATATTTTATATCAAAATGTGCCAACACATAGTGTAAGTATTTAAAACATAGCTTTTTTGATAACTCAAACAATTTTATACGCAATATATTATAACTAATTGTAAGGAGCATATTATGTAAAAAAAATAGGTAAATTCATTTAAAAAAATGACCTTTATGTTATCTTGAAGAATCAATTTTATCATTATTTGTTCTCTGCCAGATCATTAGAACTTTTGTCTGAGATAATTCTTTCTAAAATTGAAAGCAAATATATTTTGGGATAATTGTTTAAAATACGGGGCAGTATATATAATAAATTACATATGTAATGTAATCAAGACACAAAATAATAGGATAACCTAGATTACCACCTATTATATATTACTAAAGATAGCAAAAAATTATCGATAAAACCGGTGCATATATGAAAGTATAAAGTTGTACCTAAATTTGAAAAATCATCTTTCAATTTTACCTTTAAAAACGAAACAAGCCGTTCGCGTTAAATCTAATAATGCATATCTAGTTTATACGGTTTGTTTCGTATATATGTATATACACAATACAAATATATATATTTAAACAGTTCATAAGAATATATAAAAGTGTATGAAAATAAGAAGTGTAATTCAGGCAAAAGTACTTAGGATAAAAGATTACGAAATCCAAATGATGCAATTCATGAAGCTACGCATGGAGTCAAATGATAACTATGATAATTGAAGATAAAAAGAGCACGTGTCATATCTGGGTGGGGTAGAAAATGTGTTTCTCAAGTACATGAATAGTCGAGTTGTCGTGCTATGACCAGTCTTCACTCGACTACGGTCCGACTAGAGTACACACGCGTCAGATACGTTTTTATTACCGTAATTCTTCATAAAGTTCGGGAAAAAAGGGAATTGAAAAAGGTTTGAACACGCACTGCTGTTTATTATAATTTATGTTTATAAAAAATCAATTTTCTATCTAAAGTTAACTCCATAAGCAAAGATGTTTATATTAAATATTCTATTAATGTTATGTATATTGTTTATTGTAAATAATTAATACATACTACATAATTAATAGGAATAATCTCTCTCTTCTTTGATGCTTCCTAAATTATTATTACAAAACCTAAATAATTTTTCAAGTATTCTTCATCAAATATTTTAAAACTCCCAAAATTCATTATCAGTACATATTTAATGAGATTTAAATGTCATTTTTTTATTAAAAAAAATGTTTTCATACAGATTAAGTTGAAATATGTGATATAACTAAAAACGAAAGTGATTCTGCATAATAATAAGTTAAAATAACGCAATTTGATTTTAAAACTCGAAAGAGTAATTACTTCCAGATATTTTTACATTAAATACGATGTCAATCGTTAAAATGGTTTGCCATTACACCTTTACAAAATGAAAAATTGAAAGAAGAAAAAATTGTGTAGAAAATTGATTTTTTAATTATAATCTACTATCCTATAATTTACCATACACATTTAAAAAGTTTCATTTTATTCAAAATTAATTTTAAGGTATTATTGTTAGAATTGTCAATTCTAAAAAGAAATTCGCTGAAAATTAAGGTTAATATGATTTTCATGATCAAATATTAGATCTATTACATTGCAAGGAGGTTGTGTATTAAAGCCACTTAAGGATCATGATGACACTATCGAACATCGGAGACTTTCTATATTATATTTCTACAAAAAATATGAAGAGAACATAAAATGCCACCTTTTGTGATACAACAAGAAAATGTTCCTAATAATTTACACGTGATTTTCTTATAACTTGTTTTCTTATAAAAGTAATTATATAAAACTTGCGCGCCGACTGGGCACATGTAATTGTGGAATCTAGATATACAGAGTAAATACATAAATAAACATTTTGGAATTCCATGCCTAAAATTAAATTGGTGACATTTTTTACATTTCGCCTTTTTATGTTTTTGAATTATGCACCGATTGTTACATAACCCTGAAATGTCGACTTATGCCAATCCGGAATATTTAGTAGGTTTATCCAAAGCCGGAAATGTTGCATCATTTTATTAAATTAATAATTAATTTAATTTTACTATTTCTAATAAACATGCCGTAAATTTGCAAAAAATTTATTGCAAACAAATGTGTATCTTATAAAGATATGAAGATTCCAATTGGCAAGGATATTTTTCACAATAAATTTTTCGCGAGATGTTTATTGGAACAATAAATTAATTATCAATTTAATAACATGACTTCATCTCTAGCTTTGGCAGTTCGAACATATAAGTGGAATGTATAAAATTCATAAAAATTATCATTAGTTATAATTTCTGCCTGATAATAAAAAATGTTAATATTTATTTTGCGTTATGTCGGTTTTTATTTACTTATCAAAGTGCTGTACATGATAAAAACATTTTTAACGCGCGATAAGATATGATTTAAAAATATAAAGAACTTGTGTTTATCTTAATTTTTCTTATAAAATTATGTAAAGAACACTTCAAAAATTGCCAAACAATTTTTAAATAAAAACAGTCGTCTTTTAAAAAAGTTATGTATAAGAAAGTGCATTTTTTTTATCATTAAGCAATTACGAACTTACTATATTGTATAATAAGATTATGCACGCACGTATGTGACAAAAATATCTCATAAAAGAACGTTACGAAGATAACTAATGTCATAAAAAATATTTAAACGTTTATTCAACATATTAAATCAAGAGGGAAACCGCTGAGGACATTGCCGTGTACAAATTTGAAGCACTGCTAGACTAATACTAGACGTCTATGAAGCTAGAATGCCAAACTGAGCACAATCATATAAGACGCACGGAAGATTTAGTGTTCTTTATGTGCTAATTTACTGCTCTAATCCAGATTTTCTTGCTCTAGCCGTTTAACAAAAAATCGCTTTTTCGTAAAATGTATTAGTTCAACTTTCGGTACGCCACTTCTTACACTGAAAAACAATTGCAAAGTGTATTTCGTTTAAGAAAGAAGTACCGAGAAGAATATCGATTTTGGAAATATCTCGATCGTAACATACTTATTGTTAGTAAGTTTATTGCATACAAATACATATTATGTTAACCATTTTATTGCTCCACCCACAAAAGAGAAGATATACGCTCAAGATGCATTTATAAGCATATCTTTTTCAGTTTAGAAAATAACAAGAAATGTTTTATTTCGGCAAAATTATATTTGATCTTATTCAGCACGAGCGTAACAATTTTGACGCACAGCTGATTATCGTAGTACTGATACAAATCAACAAAGAATATCACTCTACATAAGTACTCTAACAATAAAATAGCGGTCGGATCTAATTTTCCTGTCGCATCTGATTCACAGGGTGAATCCAATTTTTGAAAAATTTAGTTTCTAGAATAGTTTTTTCGTAATGATATTTAATTCTCATAATGTAATAAATAACTTCGATTAAAAAAATAATATAAGAAATTAGTTTTCTTGGCACGTAAGATTTTTAAAAATACGAAAAGCATTTGAAAAGTTCTCGGGCTAAAATAGAAAAACCGTTTATATCTTTTTATATTTAGTTTTATTTTTCAATATAATCTCCATTTCTATCAGGCACTTGAACCTATGCCCCGAGGGGGAAACCGCTGACCAAAATCTTGTACACCAATGCCCACTAATGCCCAGTGGGCATTACTTTATCTTATCTTCTTTTATCTTATTGTATCTTATTTTATCTTATTTTATCTTTATAATGCCTCAGCAAGACGTAATGCCCCAAAAATGCCCTAGTAATGCCCGGCAATGCCACAAATCTGTACACCACAATGCCCTCAGCGGTTTCCCCCTCGCTATGCCCTAAGGTCGTTATCCCATTACGAAATTTTATTTGTCAAGTAATGCGAAATATCTGTCAATTACCTCTTCATTCGACAAAAATCTCTTCCGAGCAATCGAGAACAGGAAGTCTGACGAAATCAACAATAAGTCAGAATAAGGAGGACAACGAATCACACTTTAATTCGTGGATACTTAATCACAGTAGTACTTTGTGTTTATTTATTTTTGAAAAAGCACGCAGATGTTTGTTCAAAGGTCTATAAAAGATGAATCTACTTGATGGCAAATGATGACAAATTGAAACTTTGTACGTATTCACAGAAGGGTTGAAACTTTTTATTTAATACATGACGTCTGCGACGACCATCTGTAATTTATTCTGAGAACTCTTCAAATAGCGTATCTCTTGGATTTTAAAGAAAAACCTAAGATTTATAATCCAAACATACAGAATTTTTCAGAATATTAAATATATAAATAAATAAAATACTAAAATATAATACATAATACATAAATGTGATAATGTGATAATGATAATGTTTGAATAATAATTTTAAAACAATTTGAAAATAACTCAAGTCGAAGTACAGACAAGTCTATTTCGCTAAAGAATTCTAAAGCCATGTAAGCTGGAATTCCTATAAAAAATGAAGAGAACACGCAGTCGTGTGACGTGAATCATCGTATAAAAATACTCATTCATCGAGTATAGTATATGTGAGACAAACCTGCGTAATTGTGTGCGGCGCTGTATAACAGTCGATGACCAATGTTACGAATCATGACGTGTGCCAGTAAAGAAACCGTACGGAACTATTTCGTAGATGCAATTTAAAAACAATTATGAATATACATACTATCGTTTTTACTACAGTTTTATAACATTTTTATAACAATTTTAATACGATTTTTTAAACAAAATTCGAAAAATTCTATATGTATAATTGAAGAATTTTACTGTATATCTTTATAATTAACCCTTAGATTAACTCTAAATAAATTAAAATTTAATTTAATTTAAAATAATGCCTGCTCAATCTTAGAACCGCAGTTTTTTTTCACAAAATTACAAAAATTTTGCTCTAGGAACAAAATACACACGTACCTAAAGATAGTGAATATGATTTCGAAACGTTATGTCTTACTGTTCCGGATATAATTTTGTACATTTTTCTTAAATTATATGTAAAATATGTATATTTATGTACACTTACAAATTTTTACGATTACTAATTATGAATCTATAATATTGAATCTGTTATTTAGAATTTTATAATTTTGACATCAAATACATAATTATTTGAAAAACTTATAAATGTCGAATAAGGTGCACGGAGGAAATTTTCTCTTAAAATTTATTCTGAAAATCATGTAATCGTGAGACGACATGGCATTTCGGAGAATTTCATGAGTTTTTTGAAAATTTTCTCCGTGTGTAAATCGATTGTACATATGTATATGCAAAAATTATTTTTTCAATGACCGACATATTTTCGGTTCTCTGCTATTTTAAATTTTGTTATTCTGAACTCAAAATTCTAATTAGTAAATCCTAAAAGATCTGAAATAACGAATTTTTAGTGAATTATAAATATTTCTCTTTTGTTGTTAGAGAGTGTGCCTAACGTTTTTGTAGTCTTGTGTAAAGATAAAACTGACTGAAGAAAATAACTTTCTCATCCTCTCTCCCGAACACTTTAAAACTTAGGAAAAATAAAAAACTCAATATTTAAATAACGAAGATAATACGGACATGAGAATACAACATGGTTGTTCTTGTATTAATATTTCATTAGTATGTTTGCATTATGAAGCAGACTTAAATATAGAGGAAATATTAACGAAAGAAGAACCGTGTTGTATGCTCGCACTATTTTCGTACTTAAAAAATTGCTTATTAGATACCTTACTAACTTATTCTCAATTGTTAATTATCAGAAATCTATAAATGCCTTTAAATCAATTAAACGATTTTAAAATCGATGAAAGAAGCTGTGGTACAAAAGGCGTATTCTACGACTAGACATTGTATACTTGAATTCTGGTTATTTTATTTCGAAGACTTTTCCATATCATAGACAAGAATAAAGTAGAACAATCCAAATTTAAATTTTTGCGCTTAATAAATGTAAATTTACCTGTTTTGTCAAGTGGTTCTTACAACTAGAAACGACAAATTAAAAAAATCTTTCTCTCTGCAAAAAGTGTTTGCATTAATTTTTATTTAAAAGCAGTAATAAAAATCCACAAATATTTTCATATAATTTTCATAAGCAACAGCAACACATCGTTAGATAACTAGAGCGCATAATCCAGTTAAATGTGTAAAAAAAGAATATTTCTAGAGAGAAAAATCCCGTGCCTAATCTATAATGTGTTCTTTGCGTCTGAAAACATTCTATTTTGTAGCCAATAAATAAAAAATTTTTTAAATTTGTGCAAGTTAATAAATTGTACATTATACATTGTACAATTGTACAAATTGTCGACAAATTTTTTTAAGCGTTTTAATTAGTTTATATAAAATAGTATATTTCTAGGTGCGAAAAGCATATTGTAGATCAGGCATAACATGATGGGTTTGCACTTCTCGGGTTTCATAGGACACGCAACAAACGCACGGAGGGGTGGGGGGGGGGGGGACAGGGGAGGACCGAAAGGTATCTCGACGGATCGATATAATATATAACAGGAGGTGACCTCAACACGTGATATCAGCCGTACGGAACGACACGATACGACTATCAGTTACAAAAAAGAAAACGAACTTGGCAATAATACTACAATGTCGTAGTATAAGTTCCGATTGTTCGTTCTAAGAAGAATTGATAATCCCGAGTCTTTAAAAAGAATCAATCTGCTATTATCGCCAAAAAGATGTGACCTCGAGATGATATTGAGATTCCAATTTCACGATTGTTATCTTCACCGATATTGATCTGTGATTATTATTAATCGCTCCGTAACTGGCTGGGACTTGCAGTTAGTGCCGACATCATCAATTTTCTGCGCGTCGACGCTCCCCGTGGAATGCATTATTCCTTGGTTGTTAAGTAGAGCGTGGCATTATGTGGAGAAAAAAAGTACGCAGGTTACAGCTATTTTAATCGTGCATACAACACACGAAAGATAGCTGAGCAAGTATCACGTCGATGGCAGACGCCTGTAACCAGGCGGAAGTACTTCCAGGCATGGTCGGGTTTTGTGCGCATCGCTACTAAATTAATTAACATATTCCCGTCAAGACCTTTGGTTCAGGCATACTAGATGTATGGCTCTTTAAAAGTCAATCAGTGCATTATAACTGTGAATCAGTCAATATTCACTGTTTCCAGTAACAATCCACCCAAATTCGGTTGTGCAGCATTTCGTTCGAATGTTTGTGCCACGCTTCTCTAGATTTAAGTAGTTAAATTTTCTAAATTATCCGCAATAAAATTTGGTACTTTTTCCCCGATCACCTTACGGTAACTTTTAAGACCGTTAATTGAATTTGTATTTAACTTCATTATTATACATGTATAACATTGTATTAACTTGACGCCATTTTTTCACGTTTAACTTTCTTCAAATTGAACAACTAAAAAGAATTTGACATATACAATCGGATTTAAATCAAACAGGAATTAGCCTTACATGGTGTGATGATTGTACACCAAGCTTATACACTTAATATTTTATTTACTATTTCATAAGGTCGCTGGCTGAGAGAATATGTTGGCCAACTTGGTACGTCAAAATTCAAGTTCTTTATATTTAGATCTTAACAGAGTAATATTTTTCATGACAAATTCTTTACAATTGGGTTCTAAAGAACGTTTATTGTATTTAGGAATATTATTAAATTGATTATCAATTTGAAAGGGTCTGCTGCAAATTTTATCATTCCGACTTTGTTTAATCTAAATAACATTACTTTTTGGATTTTGGAATTGTCACTACTGACAGAATGCGATTGGAAAATATTTTCACTACTGATGACAGGCTGCAACGTTCACTTATTGCAATCGAAAATACAACTATCAGCACACACAACTTGCTTTGACTCTCTTCGCGTTTGCTTATTTATTGATTTTTATCAATAGAATTTGAACCAACTTATAACAAAATCTGGTAACGTTAAGAATATAATGACAGATTATTGATCGAGAAAATTGAGCAAAATTTACTGTTTCTGTGACCATTTAAATGTTTACGAAATGACAGTTCGGTTTCTGCCGAAAATCCGCCGTTAGATTACATCGACAAAACAGGAGTTTAAAGCTGCGAGCACACACTTTTGCATAAGTGCATAAGCATATGCATAAAGAAATTGATTGGTCCATAAGCAAATGCATAAGGAAATGGACCAATGAAATTCCTTGTGCATATGTTTATGCACTTATACAAAAGTGTGTGCTCCCAGGTTAACGCAGATGCAGACGATACCGGATCTGTTGTGACGTCCGAGCAAATCTGCTTGTCAACTGCGAGTAGTTAGCTTATCGTTTGTTTTATAGTTATATTGCTTCTTCTATAGAGGAAGCTTTGTTTCTAATTTTTAATGCCAATGGGTTTACAATGTTTCCAAACGTTAAAAAATACATTTTTAAGAAAATATGTATATGCGCAACGTTTAAGAATAATACTCCCAGCCGGTGATTTATTTAGTCTTACGCAGAGATAACCCAGATAGCCAGTGAGCACAAATTGCTTTCATATTGCTAACAAAAATGTTAGTATCTTGCCAACATTTGCACCTAGATCGTCTATTCCCAGTGAAAACGGACTAGTCAAAACGATGTCGATATGACGTCAAAATCGTTATTTGTTGTCATTGCATCAAGGAAACATTTAAACATGATGAAAAATTGACACTATCTGTATTGACGCTGTACGCGATAAAAGATCATATGGAAAGGTGAAAATAGATGTCTAGATAATAATTGTAGTGTTATATAAGAAAAACTCAAACATATTATATTATCTCACAAATAGATTTAATATCGCCAATAATATAAAACCAATGATATGTAGTTTTTAAAAAACGACCTACACTAGCCAATATTTTTATTTAAAAAGCAAACGACGTTTCGGTCCCGGATTTGGATCCTCTTCAAGTTATCTGCAAACGTACATAACTTAACACTAAATATTTTTTTTAATGTAGCGCAAATAATTATAGCGAAAGTAAATTGCAAATCTATACCTTTTCACACAATTGTTATTGGTCTCATATCGTTCGTTTGGCCAATATCATTATGTTAATAAGCTGTGTACAAGCAAGAGAGTCATTACACTTTTCGTTGTTATGAATTATTAAATATTTGCGCTATATTTAAAAAAAAATTTAGTGTTATGTACGTTTGTAGATAACTTAAAAAGGATTCAAATCCGGGACCGAAAGGATGGTTTTTTAAATAAAAACATTGGCCAGTGTAGATCGTTTTTGAAAAACTATATATCATTGATATTATGTTGACGTCAAAATGACTTCATTATGATGAGTTAATATTTGACTCACTCAGTTATTTTCTCGAAAGGTTGCTACGGCGTTGTTTTGTAGCGTGTATTGCAATTTCTATATTTTTTAAACGCATTTATTTTGCTGTTTGAACCACGTTTTCATAGAACAAGTATTTTACGATTTATTTAAGGTCGTCATGTTAGATGACTCACCCTGTATATGTATTCCTATTCAATATAAACTTGTTTTAGTTTTGCATTTATTCCTGTAGAGAGTAACTGTTTACTTTTGACATGAAACGAACATCAAAATGACAGTCTAAATCACCATCAGGGCATGGGACGTTTTGCAGTCAAATTATCATCATTTTGCCATTATTTTGACTACTCAAATCACTCATCAATTTGATAGCATTTTGACATCACTTTTATTATTAGGCTGTTTTCACTGGGCTGTTATTAGATAGTATTAGATGTTTCAGATGAAACATTTGCATGATCCAAACATTATGCTGGAGGGGGTAAACTGCTGACCAAAATCATGTACACCAATGCCTATTAATGCCCAATGGGTATTACGTTATCTCTTTATCTTATTTCATCTTGCTTTATCTTTTTTATCTTATGTCATCTTTATAATGTCCCAGCAAGGCCTAATGCCCAACAGTGGTTCATTCCTCGATTATGCTAATATTACGTGCTCGATCAGATGTTACAGATGTAACATGTTTACATCTGTTAGAAAATTGAAAATTTTGTATGCTAACTCTTCTTAAGAGTATATCCATTCGATGTGTTCTCTCTTTAGCTGTGCACTCAACTACAGCAATAGGTTAACATTATGTTAACCGTACTTAAATCACTCGAACTAAATTCATATCCCTAGGGAAGAGCCAGCGTCAGTTGCTGGCATTTAATTTCCATACATTGCTTGAGCATACTAGGTATCTGGGAAAACAGCGGTAACAACACAGAAAGATCGCATCGCACTCACCCAATCCCATATCTCTGAATATCTCCTTCGGCGCGATTTCGATCTCCTGCTTCTTTTTGCCGACCAAGCGAGAAGAGGCGTAATCGGGCTCCTTGGGTTTCGGTGTTTCACGTCGCTTACTGACACTCTCGTGCTGCGGCAGCGGCGGAGGCGGTGACGGCTTGGCGGTCTCCGCGGCAAAGAGGTCACTCGATACCTCGTACACGTTCCGGCGTGTTTTCTCCGGGAGTTGTGCCTCCCTAGGTAACGGGGGCAACGGCTTTGTAGGCTCAAACGCTCTAGCCTGTTCGCGCTTCAGCTCCGTTCTCTCCACTACGTTCCACGAGTCGTCGTCCGTAATGTTCTTAACTTTGTCCTCCCTCGACGACTCGCCGTCGTCTCCGAGGAAGTCTATCAGCGGCGACCTCTCCGGCGCCGGCAACATCGACGATCTGATGCTCTGCATGAAATCGTCCTCGCCGACGTTGATGCCGCCCGGCGGAGCAACATCGCGCTCGTGTCGTCTCCCATAACCGGTGCAAGTAATCAGTACAGCGGGGTCCTCGTGCTCTTCGAGTGGTCGCGCCTTGCTGTCGGCGGCTTTCGCCGACGACGTCAGCGGAAAGTCGTCGTCAGATCGAACGGCGGCGGTGGTCGAGATCGGTAACAACGGCGGCTGGAGGATCATCTCTTCCTCCTCGTTGTCGCCGTTGTCGTTGTCATCGTCATCGTCGACGTCGTCGTCGAACTGATGGTGACGGTAGGCCCGCTCGGTCTCGACGAACGTCATGCTGGCCAGCTTGGGATCGACCGGGTTCAGCGGCTGCTGGAACGGGTCCGACGACTGCGCCATGGCCGCGCACTTGTCGAAGTCTGCGGAAGGCGGCGGTGTCGCCGGCACGGGTTTCGTTTCGGTGTCGAGAAGCGCGCTGGGCAACACGGAGTCCTGAAAGGAGTCGCCGATATTCAGCAGATCATCGACACGTGGCGCGTCAATCGGTCGCGGTAGCGGCTGTTGCTGCTGCTCCGGACGGTCGTCCGGGGAGCCGTCGTGGCCAAGATGCTCGAAATCGTCGACAGAGTCGTGATCCCTCTTGAGCAGGACGTCGTTGAGAGCGTCCTGGATCCGCGAGTCCATCCTCGGTCGCACGGGATTAACGCAAAGCAATTGGAGATGCCTGACGATTAACGATGACTCACCGGATTCGCGCGAATTGACCGATAGCCGCTAGTCAGAGCTTCGATCCCCGCAGTCACGATGTCGGTTGCGCGGAATATTGCGCGACGCTCCCTACTCTCATAAAAGTCTGGTACGAGGAGCGGCGCTACTCCCACCTGCCGCCGCTGTCGTTGGTGCCGTCGCTGGTGCGACTCCTCAGTGGGGCACATCCGACGCGACGTCCTTGCAGCCCTGACTCACCACCGCCTTTAGCCGCCTTCGGTTTCTCACACCGCGCTACGGTCTCTCTTGGCGAGAGATGCGCGCACCAGAAGCGCCTACGACTTGCTTGTCGTACACAACACCGGCTGACACGACGCGAAGGCTCGAGACCTGGTACTCGCGACCACGGTTGGGGAAAAGCAGCGTTGTAGGGAAAACTCGAGGGAAATTTGACCGCAACCGCGCGAAACCGCACAGTCCTATGCTAGTATTCAATTGTATTCGATACGATCGACGTAGACGTAGATGGTAGATTCGTTGCCGTCATGAGATGTACTCCCCTCGCGAAGGGTTGCCCTCTCCCATCGCTCCGAGTAGCACGAGCCAATCGCACGATTGCTACCTTCCCCACTACACACATCTGGTACGCCAAAGTAAGCGCGGCCGTCGCGTCGCGTCCGATTATTCGCTTCACGAACGGCTGAACGGTGGATCGGTGTTACGATCGGTGATTCGAGTCTTCACGAGTGGTAGATTGCGAGTTTTGGATATGACTAGGAATATGATGATGCAAATTAAACAGTTATGTACAGTTGCTTATGTACAATCAGTTTCGAAAGTTGCGTCGGGATTTTATATTTTCTTAGTACACAAATTGTAAACTACCCAATGAGAACAGTCTAAATCAAGTCGATATGACATCAAAATCGTCATTTGTCGTTGCGTCAAGGAAATATTTGAACATGATGAAAAATTGATACTATCTGTATTGACGCTGTACGCGATAAAAGATCACATGGAAAGTGAAAATAGATGTCTAGACGATAATTGTGTTATAAAAGGAAAACTCAAACATATTATGTTGACGTCAAAATGACTACATTAAGATGAGAATATTTGATTTACTCAGTTATTTTCTCGAAAGGTATCTTCGGCGTTGTTTTGTAGCATGTATTGCAATTTCTATATATTTTAAACGCACTTGTTTTGCTATGCGAATTATTTGTACATTTTAACATATCAGTTTCTTCGATATTTCTTTGACTTGTCGCATATACATCCTTTATCTTGCATTTGAACAATGTTTTCATAGAGCAAGTATTTTACAATTTATTTAAGGTTTAATATAAACTTGTTTTAGTTTTGCATTTATTCCTGTAGAGAGTAATTGTTTACTTTTGACATGAAACAAACAAAATGACAGTGTAAATCACCATCAGGGCACGGGACGTTTTGCAGTCAAATTATCATCATTTTGCAATTATTTTGACTACTCATATCCCTCGTCAATTTGGTAAAAATTGTAGATTCTACCGAATAATTCTCGATAGCGAAACGAACAATAGCGAACGACTGTATTTCTATCTCAGTTTTCTCCGTGGCTCTAAGGGTACTATTACATTTGTCGTACGACAAATTTTTCAAGCGTGTCGATTGGCCGCTGAATAGAAAGTTTCTAGATACTCGAGAATTTTACTATCCTTCAGCCAATCAATACGCTTAAAAACTTTGTCGTACGACAAATGTAATACCAGCCTAACTCTGTCTACTACTCTACCGCAGTGACTCTCGTGGCCAAGAGACAAACGATTATTGGCTTAAATTTTCGATCTACCTCCACCACCCAAATTTGGCCCGAGTTTCCGGACCTGTATGTAAGACCGTGTGTCAAACCATGCGTATTTTTAGAGAGAGCAAATAGCGCGCGCTTGTGTTGTCTAGTAACTTAAAAAATGGAATACTTTAATTTACTATTTTGAAAACAAAATCCAATTGAAAGTATAAAAAAGGGAATATTTTTATGTGTATCTTTATTATTTAAAAACAAAAGTCTTCAATATATTACATTTGATTCAATACATAAGAATACAAGTTTCTTATAAATTATGGATATTAGGAATAAATTGCCATTTTAATAATGAAGCGGCACGCGTAATAATAATATTGGATTCCCCTAAGTTGTATTCTTGAATTGTTTTACCTTCTTGAATTTTTACCTTCGCAAAACTTTAAAATAGTTTCTTACTCAATTTTTACTCATGCTCATGTTTTCACTAGATAAAAGTCTTCAGTCGTGTCTGATAAGAGTACAATTTTCTTACAAATTATAGTTATTAAAAACATTAGAATGGTAAATTGCTTTTGAAACGAAACATGGAATAACAATGTGTTTTCGTTACAGTTCGTACTCTCATAGTCAGTTGTTCTTTTAAATTGTTTCTTGTCTGCGAAAAAATTTAAACTAGTTCAGAATTTTTATTACAATGAATGCATTTTTTGATGAATGGTTGGGAAAAGCTGCGAAAAACTTTGAAACTTTGTTCTTATTCCATTTTATTATAAAAAATTAATTAAGAAACAAAGGTATATTAGACAATTTTAGCAAGTTTGATTTTATTTCATATAGCAAACATTCCCGATTAAATAGTCTCAATTTTTTGGATGGCAATGTATATATGTTTTGGTGCTTCGTCAGTGTTAACTCATTGAACAGATCATTGACGTGTTGAAGAATCTCTCACCGCACATCGTTACAATTCTGTGCAGAGAGGATTCAGCAGACAAAAGGCTGCATTCTGGTAATCATTGCCGCTTTACATCATTATAGATTAGCAAGTATATTATAGATTTTTAGGATCTGGCAATAAATTATGTTAAAGCCGAAACCTTTCGAGAATTTATTTTCGAAAAAATTTAAATTTCCATAGCGCGGATTCAAATTAAAAATTACAGCAATTCAAGCAAACGCATGTAACATATCTTTATTTTTAAATTAAACAAATCTGTTATAGCGTAAATTTCAAAGATCTACATAATATCATTGATATTGAAAAAATTCATTACTTTCTTGATTTGCAATTTCAAAGCCAAAACATCCTTTGTAACATTTCTTAATTTTTGTAGTTATATTCCTTCGATTCTTTGGAATCTCATATTTGCTACAAATATAGCAAAAAGCGTTTGCATTTTTGCTACAAAAAGGTAAAAAAAAGACGCCAAGTATAAGCGCCATCCAATCAAGAATTATATAATTTAATTATTTAGATATATTTTATTAGAAATTAAAATTACATCGGGAAAATATCGCGTACGCCGCTTATTCCATTTAATAAAATTTATTTTATTGTTAGACAAGGTCGCTGCGAAATTGGAAGTTTTAGCAAAAGTTCACTCGGTCAATTTCGCGCGCGCGCGACAAGGACTCAATAAATTACCCCTATTACCCCATCCCGCATTGGCGTAAACGTGGTGAAGAAGAACCATTGGAGGTGCGGGGAGATTTAATCATGCGAATTTTTTTTCGGCAGAGAAATCCCATTGAGCGAGAGCGTGGACCGGACGAGGGCGGGGAAAAAAACGGTAAACGGAACCACGACGCGTCTGAGCGCATTTTAGTGCGGAGCAACGCCCTTCCTTCTAAGCTTGACGTTGCGAGAGGCGACGTTGGCTGATGTGTTGCGCGGTTATCCATTGGCGAAACCGGACCGGGCAAGACGCAGCGTGCGAAAGAGGCTTATCTTTCGGACTGCGGCGTGCGCAGGCGCCGATCGACGACGGGTATCACCACCGCACCGTCCGCACCGCAGCCGGACGCGCACGGCCGCGCACGGCGGTTGAACAGTGGGTGGTGTGAGCAGCGAGTGGTGAGTGGTAGCGACGAGCACAGCGACGCTCGTCCGTCCGTCCCGCCGTGCTATTGGCTCGTAGGGCGCGGAAATCACCGTTGACGGAATCTGGCCATCCGGCGAACGGCGATCGGCGTGAATGATTGGGCCTACGATGGCGACGACGACGACCACGAGGTTGCGTGCCGTCAACACGTGCGGCGAGGGAGTGCCGTCGAGCGTCGAGAGGAAGACGTCGTCGTCGTCCCTGCGAAACGGCTTAACCTCGCGCGGTCTCGACGACGCCGGCAAGATTAACGGTTACACGCTGACTAGTAACGGCCACGTACACGTAAGTGAGCGACTTAATGAGCCGGCGCGGCTCACACAATGCGATCCCCTCGTTTCCTCAGCCCTCCCGCCCCCCTCCATCGTTCGCCGCATCGTACGATTCGCACGGTGTCCGCGGCGTCCAGTTGTGTCGCGTCACCCTTCTTCAGTTCGGACTGTGAGGTGACACGAACCGTTATTGTTGATGTCGCGCTATGATCACGTTCACGATCCTTTGCCCCCCCCCCCCCTTGTTTTTGCGAGAGGATGCTCTTAAATTGTCCTTGGAAGGTACAGCGTGCTCGAAAAGAATGGGATATAAAAACTTGTAGGGCGACTTGGACCGGGCTCCAATTAGTCTCTTGCTCAATTATTTGCGATTCAAACGGCGACCAGCGAAATTTTTAACCCTAATTGTTTGCGCATCGAATTCCTTCTGATGTCTCGCGCGTAGCAACGGTAACCTCCGAGTCGATTCTTCTCAATGAATTGTCCGGATTCACGCTAATTAACGGATCTTCAATCGTTATTCATTATTTATTGTCATAATCGCAAAGCGGTACGGGACTTTTCTATCCAGCTTAACCCGCTCTACCTGCACACGAGAGGTGATCAGGTAGTTATCGGACACTCTGTAACGTCCAAATTTCCAATTGTACATTCAGCAATCGAGAAATTAATCATTCCATCTACGTTAACAAAATAATACATCTATTGCCAGATGGGTTAATTGTCGATTCAATTGATTAGAGTTCCATCGAGGCTGTTCTTTTTAGCGGTCCCCCAATCCTACGGCCCAGTCCCCTTAAAGTTTTACCCAGCCCGCCAAGAAATTTCGATGTTACAGAGTGTCCGATAACTACCTGACCACCTCTCGTGGGCAGGTAGAGCGGGTTAAACTGGATAGAAAAGTCCCGTACCGTTTTGCGATTACGACAATAAGTAATGAATAATTATTAAAGATCCATTAATCAGCGTGAATCCGGACAATTCATCGAGAAGAATCGAATCAGAAGTTACCGTTGCTATGCGCGAAACGTTAGAAGGAATTTTATGTGTAAATATTCGGATTTTTATAATTAAAAAAAAAGAATTTTTATATGCCTTTTATCAAAAACAAAGCTTACCCAGTCCGCCAGAAATTTTACTGTGATTATTTCAACAAAAACGGGATCCCCATCTTAGGGCCAATTTCACAAACGTTGGTTAACTGTTAACGAGAGTTTAGTTAACTCCCTATCTTTTTCTATCTTAATATCTAAGAAAAGACAGAATCAATTCTTCGGTTAGCTGTTAATCGATGTTTGTGAAACTGGCCCTTAGAGTTCTAATTCTAAGCACGAATTAAATCAACTCAACTGGCAAGAGTATTGATTACAACATACAATTTGCCACTTCTAATCTTATCTTTCTTCTTACGTGTCAGACCAAGAAATTGATATCGTCCAGTTGATATTACGACAAATGAAATACTGTGGATGTTTAACAAGTTAATCATCAATTAAATCCATTTTTGTTAATCATCAATTAAATCCATTTTTATCTACGTAGATAACGTTACTTTCTATTTAACTTACCTTTCTTCTCTTTTTATAGAACATTTTGTAGGAAGAAGTAACAAGTAAATTAAAGTAAATTAAACTGGCAATGAGATAAAAGTTAATCTGTATTAATACAAACGGATATAAATCATTCAGAGAAGGTTAAGGAGATTTACTCTTAGCAAATCCAGCCGCGCGCATCATTTGCTCTGCGTTGAAGACTACGGCAATAAAATTATTTGAACATTGAAACGCAAGGAACTTTTTTCGATCGACAAAATGTAAAATATTATATTGAAATGCTTAGCTCATTTTTAGCCCAATGTGTATTGTCTTGTATTATCTTATCGATCGTTTACAAGCTATTTATATCGTAATTTTGGATTTAGGTAGATATCTTCGTCATGTGTCTTTAGAACAGTGTTGTATGGCTCATTTACAGAATTGACTATTTTTTTAAGAATATGATTTTTATGAAAATGTCAATGAAGATACCACATTTTGTTGAAAAATTTTTATACAGAATTTTAGAAATTGATTTAAAAACTTTACAATGTTATTGTAATTATATAAATAAGTATAATAATCTTATACAGGCCGGAAATAATTTTTATTACTGAAAACACTTACTATTAGCTTCAAGACGTTTTTCATTCTTGTAGAAAGAAATCGTTCAACTTTTCTTTAAAGAAAAACTTGTAACAATAGCATTATTTAAAAATGTTAAAACAATAGAATATTAATATTTCATTCTGTAATAATAGTTCGTGAAATACTATTATTGATGATAAAAACGCGCATGCTTGAAATATCACAATAAAAAAACATGCAATTTTTAGAATTTTCTTAATTAAAAATGGTTATATTTCATATTATAATATTACTTTTTAAATTATTGTTGTTTATTTGTTAATATACATATATAAATATAGTTAAACATTTTTAAATAAGAAACTTTTGTATGTGCCTGTAATATTTATGCATTTTCGAGGATTAAAGAAAATCGAGTAATAAGGAGTAGCCGAAATTTTTGAAAAAAGAATGGAAAAGGTTTTTTTATTCTTCAAAACTGTTGTTTTGCGCTAATCTAGGATACGTTAGGGTTTCATTAGATTCCTTTTCATCTATATAACATTGTTCTAGGGTCTAGGCCATTGCCCAGTATTAAAACACATAATAAAGTTGGGCTCTCATACATTTGCGTTTACAGAAATAAGAGGATGTTTCCTGATATGAGTTATCTCCGGATGTAAATTGGTAGCTTACAAGATACATTGATCATCACGAGATATTTATGTATTGCGATAGAACGTTCGCTTTGTTCTTTGAAATAACATGAGTGAATGAAATCTAAATTACGAGAAAATTTTATGTTGGACAAAGAGAAACGGCGAATAATCCGTAGTGTGTAATCAAGCATGTGAACTCTTCTTTTATTCATGTGTTTATATCATTATATCATTGTACATACATTGAATATTTCTGTAGCATATATTGCTAGGTATTATCGTGTTATATAGCGGCGCAAGCATTATCACGCAATCAACATATAATTTATTTCCCATTAAAAAATATTGAATAATACGAGCAGCTAACTCGTTGCTTTTTCAAACGCGACAGAGCGCTTTAAGATGTGACCATGCGATATTACTGTTCGCCTATCCGTGAAACGTGATAAGTGATCCGCCAACAAGTAATCTACTCGCGGAAATCACTATCAGCGCTTGTAAAATCAATCTTAGAGATTATGATGGCTTACATTAAATATCTCAACTTCCTGTCGTTCCAATAACTGGCGAAACAATTGGTTCGGAATGCGAAGAAAATGTAAAAAGATACTTTATCAACTTTGCACTTGGCTCATAATTATTCCAGCGCTTGATAATATGTATATGTAGTACACAGGGTGTCTCATTTTAAACGATCCACGCAAATATCTCCAAAAATATGAAAGATACGGAAAAATGTTTTAAACAAAAGTCGTTTATGTTTAGCTTGCGATATCTCGATAACTGTTTGTCGGAGGAAAAAATAGCACAGGATTTTTTTACTTGATTTAGTCTCAGGAATGCTGTTGAAATAGGTTTCGATTATTGAAAATTTGTGTGTATTGTAACACATAAAATTTACATACATACAAATTTTCTATAATTGTGTGTGTGCGTGTGTGTGTGTGCGCGCGTGCGTGTTGTGCGTGCGTGTGTGTGATTTATTGCTTCCCCTTAAGGTTACAAGAATAACTCTTACATAGATAAGACCGCAATAGAAAATACAAAAGACAATTTAACAACATTGGAGTTTAAGGTAGGACTCACATTAAAACTAAACAACAAAGAAGATAGGCCAATGCGAGTCTAAAGGCAGGTTGTGGATAGCCTTTAAGAATAATTTACAGTACGGGGAAGGGGGAGTATTGAATGCTAAATGTAGCATCTAAAAATGCTAAAATGTAGCATTTTTAAATACAATTACAAATCGTTTATCGATTTGAGTATGTAACTTTATTTTAAAATAAATTGACACTGCGTTTAACGCAATTATTTAATTTAAAAAAATGGATTACTGTTATAAAGTTGTCTCTTAAAATCTATTGAATGTCTTTCGTTAGAAAAAAAACTTGTAAATAAATTATCTACAATATTATAGGTGTTAGTAGAAAGTGATTAAATATAACAGTGGTTATTTTGATCAAATCAATGTCTAATGTTCTTTATATCTTGTAAAAAAAATTTTTATACAACTATCAAACATTTCGTATTATTTTTTGTTTTATTACAAATGAACGAATAAGATGGTAAAAATAAATAGTATAATATAATAAATAATACATAAATTTGATTTTATTTGATATAGTAGACATTTTCAATTAGTGGTCTCAAATTTTTGGCTAACCGTGTATGTGAGCACCATTTAAAGCATGCTCGTTGTCGAGAAGTTGAGCAAATCTGTCAATTTAATGTGATTATCATGAAACGTGAAACTATGCCACCTTTTGATGAATCTAGATCACAGACTTTTCCACGAGTTTGCGACGAGTGACCGCTATCGTATTTGGACATAACACGTTAGTGTGGCATGTCGTCATGTTTCTGAAAGACAAGAAACGAATGTACACAAAATATACAAAAAAAAGAGAAAAGATTTAATTAAAGGCATAGAGATATGTAGAGTAATAAAAAAATGCTTGAAAACTCGAATCCTCACTTTTTCAATATTTTATTTATCTCTGGCTTTTATATTAATCTTTTCGCTGTTCATGAACATTATTTATTAAAATGCAAGTTTTCAGTTTTAATTAAGGCTCTTGCGGGTACTTGCTGCAATCATGTTGGACCGTGACGTCAGAAACGAAAAATGACATGCTGAGAATTTTTGCACGGCATTTTTAGATAAAACGACATTTGAAAGAATAAACATTTTAAACACTTCAGTATACTT